CTTCCATAAAGACAGTGTTGTCCATTTTAGAGGGACTCTTCTTCACACTTGCATCACTATCAATACATAATGTATGTAATGTATACAGAACGAGAGAGCGTGTTGTATCKGGTGATAAAGATCCGAGCCGAAGGCGAGGATCTTTAGCCCCGATACAACACGCTCTCGAGTTCTGTATACGGCTTATCAAACTTTATAATAATTCTCATTTTAATATTTTTGAAAAATTGAATATCTTGCTGCATTTCATCGATTAAAATTATCAACTTTTATCGCCGTTATTAAATATTCCGGCGTCAAATATAACTTTTGTATGGCGCCTTCATGAAACGACTGAACTAGAGTCATAACACTTGCACCGTGAAATATGATCAAAATAAACAGTAAATATTAGTGTCTATTTATTGACTAATAGTAGATATTACTGAACCAGAACACAGTTCATGAAAACAAAAGGCAATACACAGGAGACTTGACAACTGCCATCTTTATTTCATGTACAATCAAGACAAAAGACACATCTAGATCTAAAATAACCACACAATACACTAGGGAGCGCGTTTAACGAATCTTTATTTATTTGCGCTGCTGCTGTAAAATCAAGACAAAAGACACATCTAAAGCTAAAATAACCACACAATACGCAAGGAAACGCGTTTAACGAATCTTTATTTATTTGCGCTGCTGTAGAATCAAGACACAAGACAAATCTAAAGCTAAAATAACCACACAAGACTAAATGAAACACGTTTGGAATCTTTACTCTCTGCGCCGCAGCAAAATTGAGATAGAAGACATTGTAAGGCTAAATTGAAAATACTGTAACAATAGCAAATACGCAAATGAACGTGTTTTCTAACGAGTTTATTATAAGAGCCWAAACTAAATRTCAAGASAAGACGCAYTGAAATGACCCGCAAAAATCTATAAACAACGTGGTTTCGAACGCATTCTATCGCTCAAAGCTGAGTTATTTGACTAGACAATATAAAAAAAGCGACTTGACAACAACCAGCGGCGACGTTTTATATTTATCCTTTGCTTGAAGCTCAAAATAAAACACAATAAATTTTATTAATCATTTCGGAAATGTTTGTGAGATACGTACCTTTTGAGCATGGGACATTAGTTACCAAATCATTATTTCAAGCAGCACTCGTAACAGTTATAAAGTTAGTTACTATAGCTATCTATTTCACTTTCACCCTATAATCAACTCTTTTTGTCCTTTCAATAAACTCGATTTCCAYGAAGCCTACATTTAACACAAGCTCTAGCCCTTCCCGACATCTTTCCTCTGGGTTTAACAAAGAACTAAACCAGCAGCTCTTTATTTCTTTCCTTAATTGTGGGTGGGACATTTTTTAACAAATTCCTCCTTCTTCATTAGGTAGCTTTTAATAACGTTGTTTGGCTTCCAAGTCTCTTGTGTATTACCTTTTGTTGCTAAGAATTGTTTTGGTTCAGTGATATCTACTATTTCATACAAATGGTCAGTAAATAAAAACTAATAGTTACTACTTCTTTGATTTTGTTTCACGGTGCAAGTGTGATGACTCTATCAAGGGAATTTCTAAACGATTAATTGAAAGCGGCATTGTCACATTAGAAGCTTTTTTTACTTTCTCCTGAAAATTGTTTATTTTCCTATTGTTTTTTTAAAGAATGTGCTTGCCAAACTATAGAAAATTAGAATTGTCAAAGGAATTGCAAGATATTAGGCATTCATAGTTAGCAAAAATTAAATCAGTTGTCTTCCATTTCTCCCTCGAAGACATGTCGAGTCGATTTATGAGACCTAAAACTCAACATAAAGGAAAGCTCTATTGCTTGGGCGAGTGTTCCACAAAGTATTCAACAAAATGGTCCGCAACCTTATTTTTCGACCGGCAAAAAGACCGTGCGAACAAGAAAGCCATAAATGGGGGCACCAGTTTCAGTTTCAAAAACAGCGAGTCATTCCAGGATATGCTGACGCTGGTCTTGATGACATGAACGCCGAGTCGTTGATTTTTTGGATCGTCAAATTCATACAAGACGAGGCGCCAAGAAAAACAGAGAAGCTTATCCGACGATCGAGTAAATCGCGAGGAAACGAAACGGCATTGCTACAATATTGATTTTTCAGTTTGTTTTAATTGTGTNAGCCGGGATACTAGTAGAATACAGGTTAAAAAGGTATGGCCGTGATAAAAATATAAAAAAAATAGAACAGATAACTTGAAATGGCATGTTATTGATAAAGGATGAAAGATCTGCACTATCTGAAATGAAWAAATAGACGGACTTTAGAAAAATGRAAAAATCAAGGAAATGTTTATTACCTGTGAAGTAAACTCTAAGATGGATCCCATCTCAACACCTTTGCGAAATCGAACATCGTCCATTGTTTTCATGATTGCTTTTCCACCACTAGAAAAAGGAAAATAAAACAAAAATAATAAGAAAACAGCAAACATCAAAAATAATAACAAAAAAAACTCAAAAAATTGGCTCCATGAGCGCTCATCTTCACTTGCTTCTTTGATTCTCTTTGTTTTGACACTCAAATTTCTTAATTTMTTTTTTAATCATATGAGGAAGTAGCTGATCCCATTAAAGAGTGCTCAATACACATATGGTGTATGTAATGACGAAGAGGCAAGATTTTGCTGTAACTCCGAGTTTCGTGCTTACGCTTTAATCTCCGAGTTTCGTGCTTACTATTATTATAGTATTGAATACTGTCTGATGAGTGCGTAGCATGAAACTCAGAGTAACAGCAAATCTTGCCTCTTTGTCATACATATATAATTTCTTTTTTAACTATTTTTGTTTTATTATTCACCTGAACAGACAAGCATTTGTCCAAGCCAATCCGAATGCTCTATCAAGAAGAAAACCACCAAATACTTTATTGTGAGTATTTCGTTGCTATTGAAGAAAGGCCAAGAAAGAAAAAACACTGCAGTCAGCATATTTATCATTATTCTTGAAAATAGTTTGGATTATCATAGCATAAGTATAAAATTACACATATTCCTACTGGACGACATATTGAAGTTTCCAGGGGTAAACTTTATTATTGAGATTTTTACAAAACGTTTGATTGAATCCATGACATTTGCTTTAATGCGATTAGATCGAACAACTACTTAGTCCAGTACAAAACTCCTTTTTGGGGGGTCAAAAGGAAGTCAGGACTGGACTAACAACTACTTGGACTGTGGTAACTATGATAACATTGAATCCATACCTGAGGGTTGCAAAAATACACAGAACTTAATTCTGTATCTTCCATAAAGACAGTGTTGTCCATTTTAGAGGGACTCTTCTTCACACTTGCATCACTATCAATACATAATGTATTGATGATATGGTTAATTGATAACAATGATGATGGTAGTCATAGAATGACGATGGTCATCATTCATGTCATCCTTTGTTGTAAAATACAGATTATTAACTCTTCATGCTTTCTGATTGTCAGCTTCCATGCTCCAAGTGAATCCCACTTTTTTCTATTGATGTTTTTTGGGTGCAGTCTTATGCAGACAAAGCCTCGATTGGAAAAATGTGAATCCAGAATTTTCCTKGACTTTCCAGGATGGTGAACATCCTCTGCACCCACTGGKACATCAAAATATCAAATACAGCACTATTGAGTTACCCGAGTAACAGACAGCATGTATCTTTTCCATGTATTTTGAGGCAAACAATGACTAACATATGAGTTAAATATTGTAATAATCATTAGAATTAATATTAATGTATTAACATAATTAGAAATAGAACAATATTTATGATAAACATGCATATATGGCTCACAATACTCCAGTCTGCAGCATTAAGTCATGCACAATCTGACTCTCTTCAGCTGTAGGAGCAGTTTTAGTCAGGCTTGTGCTCCAAGTCGCCAGGCTTTTGGAGTGATTCTCTATTAAGAAATTCTGATTTATTCAATTTATCAAAAGTTGATTGAAATTTTTGTTGATTGAAAATGCATTGGCAACCAACATCAAAATACAATCAAAATATTATTACTTGAAAAATGTTTCAATGTACAAAATAACATATTGTTATATAGTCACCTTGTCCTTGTTGAAAGATCTGTTTTTCCTTATCAGTTTTCAACACTAGGGGATTGACAAGAGCAGCTCTATAGATGAAAGAGATATGAAAATACAATATAACAGAAAAGCACTTTTATGACAAACAAACATATGATGCAAAATACCTTTCCCTTTTAATATCTCTGGAGACCATTAGGAATCGAGCATCAAGAATGTGTTTAAATGAGCCATTGACTATCTGTACATCAATGAAATATTGTTAGTGTTGTAAATAAATTATATTATTGCCTTAGCGAGACAACTCATAAAAAAACATTCTAGTAAATTATTATTGGAGAAACAGACACAACCTCCCTTCCTTAAAATCATCTTCTGTGAGGTGACTTACCTGGCCAAGGTCCATCGTCACCTCCATGGAGCTCTTACCAACCCATGTCACATTACCTATCGACAGGTTAAAGAAAAACAGATGGAAAGAGAATGGACACAAGATTGCTTACTGAAATTTGTCATGGGTATCCAAGTCATTCTTATTGCCTTGAGCCTGAGTCTAAAGGCAATTGAGGCTAGTCTTGATGAGATACAGGCTCATTCAGCCTTATCAGTCTTTATTATATTACTCACCAGACATTTTGATATCATAGTAGGTTTGAATTTGCTCATAAAGGTCTGCAAGGCAATGAATTATTATCCCAAATTATCAGCATAGGGTCTTGCAATATATATTACGAGTGTCAATGGRAGCAATTTATGACAATTTTTATGACAATTATGTATTAATAAGTATTTTGGTATTCCTGTGGTGATTTTGAATAGGCCTAAAATATGGGTTACTGTTATCAGATCTGTGCTTATATCACAACTATTTAAGATAATGATAAAAATAATATCATCAAAGTTATGCACATAGAAAAAGGCTAGTTCATTTACCAATTATGTCRACCAGTGCAGTTACAACAGTATGTGGTGAGGTACCCTTCAAGTTTTGTTGTCCACCATGAATGTGTAAATAGCTAATCCAGGCTGAGATATTCAAACAATAAATGCCATATATGTTTTATAAATTAAAATAGATAAAAATGCGATTGCTGTCATCGTTTTTATTGAACATTTATCAATTTATCATAATATATGACCATTTGCAAATAAGCAAACCTAACCTGCAAACATATCRAGATTTGCAAGAATTTTCCCAAATCTGAAATTCAGTACAGAGAACCTACATTATGCTGTGCTTTCAAGCTGATAATGCATCGGACATTTGATTCTATGGTGAAGTATAGTTTGGGTAATAAACAATCAAATCCCTTTTACCTGATAAACTTGTAAAAGTTTTGATACTTCTCTCTAAGTTTCAAGTCAGTACCAACTGGTAGGTAAGCTTCTTGGTAACTATCTTTCATTGTTCTTGCTGGCAGCTCCTCCTGTGTGTCTGGTTGTTCTAAGTCTGGAAAATCATCTGGCTTTGTTGTCTCTCCACTGAACAAAACCGTTGAAAATCTCATTGAAATCCCAGTTTGACATGGAGAATTTCTTACATAGTAATAGGATTATATTGGCCTGGGACTTTTTGTAGGAGGGATTAGACATTCTTATTCAGAGGATATTTAAACAGAGAACACTTTTATGTACCTATGATAATACATGCCTTGGGTTTATTCTCAATGTATGCAATAAATCATCAAATGACTRTCTCATCAAACAGCTTTGATGTTCATTCATCCATTTATTGGCTAATACAATATATATCTTTACCTCCAGTATGGAGACTGTCCTCCTACCATTGTCCTCAAATTGTATTTGACTACCAAGAAAGTAAACTGGGTATTACACGTGAGAATTTGTGATGACTACCAATTTACTACAATAAAAAAYATCATGACACTGCATACATTAATCCTACAATAAAGTCTTACTTTCYTTCATTGTGGTCACGTCAGGGTCCTTTGACTTAGATGAGAGATTTCTGAAAATTTGCAGCGAAGCACCGCAGCTGTAAGCCATAAAAAAAGCAGAATACAGTCAAAATAATGCACTGATCATCTTGAATAATAACGCCATAACTGTAAATATGGTGATATATTTCGATAAATACCGCCTTACCTTCCTAGAATATTTCGTAAAACAGTTTTCAAAGGAGGAGAGGCAAAACTTCTTGTGACCGCCATGTTTGTTTATATTTTGGGGAAATCCGCTGCCTAGAAAGAACGACGTACTCAATGCCCAGAGTGCATTGCCCGGATGCACGGTGCGGTGTTCTTCAGCAACAACTAGAGAAATTCTAAGTTCGATATTTTATTTTGATTTTATGTGAAATGCAAGATTTCATTATAAGAGAGGCAGTTCCACAGGACTGTCAAGGAATACTTGAATTAATTAAGGTATGTCCACTTAACTTAATTGTTGAATTATTGTTTGGTTGGAACTGATTGATTGATTTGATTGTCTGATTGATTGATTGATTGATTGATTGATTGATTGATTGATACTGATGAATGCTAATATACCAAAAGGTCTGATTAAATTAGCAATTTTGTCCCTGACATGAGCTTCAATTTTTGCGACAATTTTATCAAGTTTATGTGAACACCTCAATGTGATKTGTGCCTGTTCTGATTTGCAGTAATAAACTTCTGAGCTATTGCCATGAAATCTTTGTGAGCATGCAAGGCACAAGATTTGATTAAATAACAGAAAAAGGCATCAGCTCATGTCACACTACAAATTTGCTGGTGTAAACTTCTATAATCTAACATATTCTCTCATCTTGCACCAGCAATGACAGCTAATGTCCATGCAAATCATTGATTTATTTCTCAGGCTCTTGCAGTGTATGAAAAGGAACCYGAGTCTGTTGTTTGTTTGACACCTGAAAGTGAGTAATAATATTCTTAAACCATGCAAAACTGCCAGTCTGTCTGTCTACACATGAAAACATCCAATCTTTTTTCTTCTTCAGTGAGCACAGCTCCTCCAACTATGTGTAGATAGACTACCGTATCTAAAGAATATCAGATTTTAAAATATGCTCTTGATTATGTTAGTTTTAGAGAGGGATTGTTTTGGAGAAAACCCATGGTTTTATTGCTTTGTGGCTGAGAAAGAATCAAGTGCTGGAAAAGATCTTGTTGGTTTTGCACTGTACTATCATGCCTATTCWACTTGGAAAGGACGTATGCTGTATTTAGAAGACATTTTTGTTATACCAAGTGAACGAAGTAAGTATCAATCCAATCAAGCTGCTTCAAGGACACAATTTATTTGCAATCAAAATTTTCATTTTTCAAAATTGCTTACATAAAATTATTGATGTATGTTTTAGAAAAAGGCATTGGAATTGGATTTATAAAAGAGATAAGTAAGGTATACAAATGATTTGATTTCACAACATTGTTGCCATCATCATGTATCYGAGTGTCATCATCATCATTTAGCAYTGTGAATATTATTAGCATCATGAGTCCAMGGTCATTATTGACCAAGCATTTGCATACTGATCATCATCATAATCACCACAAGTAGCGACATTGTTATCAGCAACATCATTGTTATCGTATTCATCACTATCATAAGTGACCACCTCCAGCAACTGCATCTCGGTCATCAGCAGTTGGTTCATCAATATGAATAGTTTTTTTCACAAATAATAGTTTTGTGTTCCTTTTTCAAAGGTTGCAGTGAAGAAGAAGTGTTATAAAGTCAAGTGGGCAGTCTTAGACTGGAACCAAAACTCTATTGATTTTTTCAATTCTTTAGGAGCTCAAATAGAGAAAGAGTGGAAACTAGTGTGTTTAGACAACACTGCAATGTTAACTTTAGCTGAAGAGAAATAAAAACAATGAMTGCCTGCTGCGAGACACTGTATGGAAGAATGGTACCCCCCCCATTCTGAACCAAAGACACTTATAAAGACATCGAGGTAACCTTTAATAGTATCATTTTCAAGACAGAACCCAGTTCTGTTAAAAAATCGTTTTACAATCTATAACCAAACCTATGAAAAAAACTCTATTCTGTAAAATCTAATTTTCTATTCATCTATTCATTCAAAACATTGAGGATGAGACAGGAATATGTACAAATTTGCCTCCTTGGGGAGATGTCCACTCAAACATTTTCTAAATACTTTATTCTGATTGGTTCTTTGGATGCTGGGTCTTGATGTGCCATCGAAGATGAGATGATGTAATAAAAGCTTTCTCACACAGCTGACATTTGAATGGTTTTTCTCCTGTATGCGTGCGTTCATGGGCTTGTAGTGTGCCATAYTGTGTAAAGCCTTTAGGGCAGTATTTGCATTTATATGGTCGCTCACCAGTGTGTTTGTAAGTGTGAGTCTGAAGGTTACGATACTGTGTAAAGGATTTGGGACACAGCTTGCACTTGTATGGTTTATCGTCGCTGTGGATGAGAAGGTGACGTTGAAGATGACCATATCGAATGAATGAAGCAGAGCATTCGTTGCACTTGAATGGCTTTTCACCTGAAKAAAAACGGCCTAATATTAGTAAAAACKTACATAAAGTTTTAGCCAAGCCACAGTCATGTTCTATAAATATAAAATGTATTGTCTTCTGTTATGGAAACCTCTTTTCATTACCTTTGTGAATGTACATATGTGTATGCATCTCGTCTCGTCTTGTGAAAGCACGTTCGCACACRTCGCACTTGTAAGGTTTCTCTCCAGTGTGAAGTCTTGTATGCATCTTGAGAGCTCGTGACGTCGTGAATGCAAACGAACAAACCTGTTAAGACAACGATTAACAATAAAAACCTCTTTCGTGATGCTGGAAAACACAGGTAAAGCAAAGCMGTTTACCGGGATATTGAATAGATGAATGTGGTACGCATGCTGAAGTTGGACACATGATTCGCAAGTAGATRATGATTGTRATGATAATAATTGTGATGATGATGAATATGAAAACCATGATTGATGACAATTATTTGATTTGACTGTGGTGTTCCTACTGGGAGACGAAGAAGAAATGAGGGGCGTGTYCTTACCTCACAAACGTATGGYCTCTCTCCAGTATGCATACGAATATGGGTCTTCAATCCACTCAGTCGCGTGAAATCTTTACTGCAAAGTCGACAGCGGTATTTATCRCCCTCTTTGATAAATAAATCCTTGACTTGTTCTCTTGCCAGGAGTGTGAACATGGCTGAGTACGAACCGGTCGCTTGT